TTATTATTTCTTTATTGTCTGGTGATGTGAGAACGTATCTAACTGGTGATGTGAGAGTGTATCTAACTGGTGATGTGAGAGTGTATCTAACTGGTGATGTGAGAGTGTATCTAACTGGTGATGTGAGAGTGTATCTAACTGGTGATGTGGAGAGGTATCTAACTGGTGATGTGAGAGTGTATCTAACTGGTGATGTGAGAGTGTATCTAACTGGTGATGTGAGAGTGTATCTAACTGGTGATGAGAGTGTATCTAACTGGTGATGTGAGAGTGTATCTAAATGGTGATGTGAGAGTGTATCTAACTGGTGATGTGAGAGTGTATCTAACTGGTGATGTGAGAGTGTATCTAAATGGTGATGTGAGAGTGTATCTAACTGGTGATGTGAGAACGTATCTAACTGGTGATGTGAGAGTGTATCTAACTGGTGATGTGAACGTATCTAACTGGTGATGTGAGAACGTATCTAACTAGTGATGTGAACGTATCTAACTAGTGATGTGAACGTATCTAACTGGTGATGTGAACGTATCTAACTGGTGATGTGAACGTATCTAACTGGTGATGTGAGAACGTATGTAACTGGTTCGAAGCTACGACACAAAGATTGACTCACGACAGACTGACAGACAGACAGGTTGAGTGACTGGCAGAGATAAACAGTGAGTGTTGGTCAAGCAAACAGGGAGAGAGAGAGAGAGAGAGAGAGAGAGAGAGAGAGAGACACCATATATAGAAAAGATTATCCACAACATGACATTAACACACACACACACACACACACACACACACACACACACACACACACCCTGGTACTGTCCCAATTGGTCCAGAGGTTGATTGTTGCTGTCTATAAGATGATTGGTTGATTATGGTCCGCTATACAGGTAATTCAGTACAGGTAAGGGTGGTCTTTGGGGTCAGCTGGGGGGAGGGGGTTAATTTACCTAGCCGGGGGATTGGGGGTGATTTACCTGGCCGGAGGAGAGGGGGTTAATTGGTTGATTTACCTGGGCGGACCTGTGCTAACACCCATTGATTTGGCAGGTAATGTAGGTGAGTGAGGTTGAGGGCTGTTTTCACCTATTTTTCTCCCCTCCTCCTCTCCTCTCTCTTCCTCTCACCCCCGAACCTCCTGTGGGTGGTGGTGGATGGTGGTAGTAGTAGTTGCGATGGTGGTTGTGGTGATAGTGGCATCTATCGTCTATAATTAATTAGCTTTTGAGATCCATTCTACCCCTACTTACCTCCTCCTCTCCCTCCTCCTCCCTCCTCTCCTCCACTTACCCCCCCACCCTCTCCCCACTCCTCCCACCTCTTCCTCCCCACCTCCCCACTCCTCTCCTCCCTCCACCTCCTCTCTCTCCCCACCCCCTCCCTCCCCACCCCCACCCCCCTCCTCTCCCTACCCCCCACCCCCTCCTCTCCTACCCCTACCCCCTCCTCTCTCCTACCCCCACCCCTGTACCTACCTACCTAGCCAGATAACAAGGAAGTTGACTTGAGGTAACACCCCCTTCCCTCAACTTATCACCACCCCTAACCACCACAACTACCACCACCACCACCACTGTGTACCTGTGTTGTGCCATTTTGTTTTGTTTTTCGTCTTCCTGTTTTTTTCTTTCATCTTCTTCCTGTTTTTTTCTTCCTTCTCCTTTTATTCCTCCTCCTCTTCCTCCTCTTCATTTTCCCTTTCCTGTTTTTTTCCTCCTCCTTTTCCTCATTCTTTTCTCTTCCTCTTACTTTCCTCTTTCTTCTTCCTCCCCCTCCTCCTCTTCTTTCTCATTGTCTTCCTCCTCCTTCCTCCTTCGTCCTCCTCACCTTCCTCCCGCCGCTGACCAGATGGGGTCCCAAGGGAGGGGTAGTTAAGACAACCCGGGTCATCCTGGACGGTGAGGTCAGGTCACGGGACACCTGGTGACCCGTGACCCGGAATTTAAACAGTTAGTAATAAGGGTCAAAACAACCCCGTGAACACCTGTCGGGTCCCGTTGATTGGTGTAGCAACAGGAGGAGGCTCTGTTGATGGGTGTAGCAACAGGAGGAGGCTCTGTTGATGGGTGTAGCAACAGGAGGAGGCTCTGTTGATGGGTCAAGCAACAGGAGGAGGCTCTGTTGATTGGTGTAGCAACAGGAGGAGGCTCTGTTGATGGGTTCAGCAACAGGAGGAGGCTCTGTTGATTGGTGTAGCAACAGGAGGAGGCTCTGTTGATTGGTGTAGCAACGACCGGCACAACGGCAGTAAGTAACCGCAACAGAGTCTTGATAATAACAACAAAACAATAACAAATCAAGTCTACAACAACAACAACAACAACACCACCACCACCACCACCACCACCACCACCACCACCACCACCACCACCACCACCACCACCACCACCACCACCACCACCACCCACCACCATCACCACCACCACCACCACCACCACCACCACCACCACCACCAAGGGGTCCCGGCAACAGCGAGTGTGGGAACGTCTCTGGAGTGTGACACAGGGATGCCGCCCTCCACCAGAGCTGTCACTTCAAGTAATAACTCCATTAAGTGGACGAGGATCAAGTGTGAGCTCCAGTGCCACTACTGCCTGATTAACTCCTCCTCCAGATGGACACCAGGCCATGTTGGAGGAGGATGGACCACCAGGGCCATGTTGGGGAGGATGGACCAATTAGGCCATGTTGAAGGAAGATGGACCAATTGGTGGGCCATGTTGAAGGAAGATGGACCACCAGGCCATGTTGAAGGAAGATGGACCAATTGGTGGGCCATGTTGGGGAGGATGGACCAATTAGTGGGCCATGTTGAAGGAAGATGGACCATAGGGTCATGTTGAAGATGGACCAATTGGTGGGGCCATGTTGAAGGAAGATGGACCAATTGGTGGCCATGTTGAAGGAAGATGGACCAATTGGTGGGCACATGTTGAAGGATGATGGACCACTGTTGGACCATGTTTGAGAAGAAAAGGAGGAATCATACAAGCAGCAGGATGTTGGGGAAGGAAGATGAAGAGGGGGGGGGGAGGAGTGTTGGAGAGGAGACGGGTGTTGGAGAGGAAGGGGATGGCCAGACAGAGCTATCACCAGAGCATTACTTGTAGTGTCTGGTCGGGGAGGGTAGAGGTGACCAGGTCAGAACGTCTTGACAATAGCGCCTTAACGATGGTTCCGGTCGACGTGACCATGGGGGTAAGGGGGATGTGGAGGAACAGGGGAAGAGGTACGGAACAGCGGGGTGGACGGAACAGGGGAGGGAGGTATGGAAAAGTTCTACTCAGTACAACACACACACACACACACCGGAAACGCGTTAAAGACAGAGCGTCAGCCCTAAACACAACAGCTGACTTACTGAAGCTTGTGTTTATATATTTTGCTACAGCTGACTCAGGAAACACCACTTTTCACCCATTACTTGTGTCTCTTAGTGGACAAATTACCTGAGTTAATGACCATGCTAAGAAGTGGTCGCTTGTTTGTATTGCAGGGGAGGAAGGGAGGGAGAGGGTGGGTTTGTAGGGGTCATTGGTTGATTGGTTGGCTTCATGTGGGTCTCGATGGTGATTGGTTGGTTTTGTGTGGGTCTTGGTGGTGATTGGTTGGTTTTGTGTGGGTCTTGGTGGTGATTGGTTGGTTTTGTGTGGGTCTTGGTGGTGATTGATTGGTTTTGTGGGCTCTGGTGGTGATTGATTGGTTTGTGCGGGTCTTGTGGTGATTGGTTGGTTTTGTGTGGGTCTTGGTGGTGATTGGTTGGTTTTGTGTGGGTCTTGGTGGTGATTGATTGGTTTTAGTGGTCTTGGTGGTGATTGGTTGGTTTTGTGCGGGTCTTGGTGGTGATTGGTCTGATTCGTGTGGGTCTTGGTGGTGATTGATTGGTTTTGTGCGGTCTTGGTGGTGATTGATTGGTTTTGTGCGGGTCTGGTGGTGATTGGTTCGATTCGTGGGTCTTGATGTTGATTGGTTCTAGTTCTAATGGACCCCAGTTCTTAAGAGACTTGCAAGGACTAAGACTCACATGTAAACAATGGCTGTGACGTCATTGAGGTAGCGCCAGAGAGAGAGGGAGAGGGAGACAGAGGGAGAGGGAGACAGAGGGAGGAAACCTCACTTCATACAAAAGCAACTGCTATTACTGTAACGCTATCTGTGAGACAATTGTTACCTGAGGGAAGGTGAGATTACAGAAGTGTGTGTGTGTGTGTGTGTGTGTGTGTGTGTGTGTGTGTGTGTGTGGGGAGGCGAGTACCATTGCTATTGTTAGTTATTTTATGTTTACAGCCACTGTCTTTTAAATACCTTCTGTCATTGTCATCATTGGTGCATTTCTTATTCCTCCCTTCTTCCTCTTTCTTCTTCCTTCCCTCCTCTCCCCTTTCCATAGATGTATCATGACTGTGACCTGTGTGTCATTAATTACTATATATCTGTGTCATTAATTACTATACCCAAAGCCACAATTACTATACCTGTGTCATTAATTACCATACCTGTGTCACAATTACTATACCTGTGTCACAATTACTATACCTGTGTCATTAATTACTATACCTAAAAGTCATTAATTACTATACCAGTCATTAATTACTATACCTGTGCCATTAATTACTATACCTGTGTCATTAATTACTATACCTGTCATTAATTACTATATTCGTCATTAATTACTATACCTGTGTCATTAATTACTATACCTGTGTCATTAATTACTATACCTGTGTCATTAATTACTATACCTGTGTCATTAATTACTATACCTGTGTCATTAATTACTATACCTGTGTCATTAATTACTATACCTGTGTCATTAATTACTATACCTGTGTCATTAATTACTATATCTGTGTCATTCATTACTATACCTGTGTCATTAATTACTATACCTGTCATTAATTAGATATACCTGTATTTAAGTGTCATTAAAGGGTTACATACCATCAATTAAGTGCCATTTACCTGGAGTGCTACTAATGACTCACCTGTGTCTCACCTTGCAGGGTCTGGTGATAGCGGGGTCCAGTGTAACAGCATCAGCCTACCTGCCCCTCCTGCCCTACGCCCCCGTTACTATGACCCGAACCTTGATTACATGGACCGCATCGTCTTGGAGATAGTGGAGACTGAGGCGATTTACGTGAGAGATCTCCGCGAGATTATTGAGGTGAGTGTGTGTTGGAGATAATGGGGTGATGGTGTGTTGGAGATAATGGGGTGATGGTGTGTTGGAGATAATGGGGTGAGTGTGTGTTGGAGATAATGGGGTGAGTGTGTGTTGGAGATAATGGGGTGAGTGTGTGTTGGAGATAATGGGGTGAGTGTGTGTTGGAGATAATGAGGTAAGGTGAGTGTGGTGGAGATAGTTAAGGTAAGTAGTTGTTTGTGTTGGAGATAATTTTTAAGGTTGGGGTGAACCCCAGTCCTAATAGACTGTGGCCCCCAGACCCCAATAGACCCCAAGCCCCCAATAGGCCCCAGTTGTATAGCGTTACGTATCACACACAGGTAACAATGAGGACAGGTATTTCTCCCGTGTGTTAATGGTATGGATGTTTGTGTACCAGTTGTGTGGTTTACTACAGCCAGGGGGGACGTGTCTCTCACTCTACCTCACCTCACCTCATCTCACTTGTTGTCGGTCAAAGATGTGTTGGGGGAGGTGCTGGGGAGGTGCAGGAGGGTGTAGTTGAGGTGGTGTGTGTGTGTGTGTGTGTGTGTGTGTGTGTGTGTGTGTGTGTGTGTGTGTGTGTGTGTGTGTGTGTGTGTGTTTTTTACATAGAGATCTCTCCTCCCGAGTGGCTGACTACGACAAGTCTTATGACAACTCTAGGAGGGGGTTGAAGGTCATGTGTTGTAAGTATAACACACACACACACATACACATGTACGTTATAATTGGAGGGAGTTGTCATGAATATTAAGGTACTGTATTTTGTTGCATCTTCTTCCTCCTCCTCCTCCTCCTCCTCCTCCTCCTCCTCCTCCTCCTCCTCCTCCTCCTCCTCCTCCTCCTCCTCCTCCTCCTCCTCCTCCTCCTCCACAGCATCATCACCAGGGACGTGTACATGGGAGTAGCTGTAGATGGGACGATGTGTACATGAGACTGTGTACATGTGAGTGTATACGTGAGCGTGTGGGTGGAGGCATAGGTGTAGTTGTAGGCGTGGTGGGTGGAGTACCCTGTCCATCCACCTGTACAACCAGTTCATCCATGGTGCAGGTGGGCGGCCCTGAGTACTAAGTGGGCGGGCGGGCAGTAGGCGGTGGCTGTCTGACTGCTGGGTGACTGGGAGCAGAGGGATTGTGGTGATGGTGGTTGCTATGGTTGTAGTTGTGGTGATGCTTGTAGTTATGATGACTAATGCATGAGTCATGAAGGTAAGTTTGAACTATGCATGCTTCCCAGATGGGCGCTGTAAACGCTTCTGCGCTTCACCTTGCACAGGATGACAAGGAGGTGTCCAATAAACTAGCACCTCTCGGGGGCAAATATATAAAAACATATATAACTCATACTCAAGTGTCTAAATCATCATACTCAAGGGTTTTAAGTCGTCATACTCAAGGGTTTTAAGTCGTCATACTCAAAGGGGTTAAGTTGGTAGACAACCGTTTTAACTTCACCAAGGGCAGGAGGATGGCAGGTAGATCACATTGACTCAGGCACTACTTAAGGACTTCACCACCTGTAATTAGTGGTGAGTGATGTACAGGTGAGGTGGGTCTTACCTGGAGCGAGTTGAGGCTAGGAGTCTTCAACATACGTGCGTTGTTCTTTCCTCGTAACGAATGATAGAACGTTCGTAAGTAGGGGTCGAGTCTCGGTGTAATATAGACGCCATTTTGTGATTTTTTTTTTTACCTAAAGTGAATTTGATCCGAGACTTTGAGACTCCATGTGTACACCAATCAGCTGTTAAAAGGTACACATCAAGACAGTGGTGAATCAGCTGTTACAAGGTAAACAACACAACACGTTAATACTCCACCCACATACCTTATAAGGCAGGTGTAGAGGCCACGCCCACCTCCTCCTTTTTCCCCCTCCTACAGGTCTCTCTCATTCACACACCTGTACACTACCTTTGATCAGGCGTCCAGTGAAGGCCAGGTGAGAGCCCTTCCTCAGGTTAGGAGTACAGACGCAGGGTAATAATAATAATAATAATAATTGGCGCCTAAGTTAGGGTGATATTTGTAAACTTAAAACAGGTGTGGGGGTTAGGTTAGGTTAGGTTAAGTTAATTTTAGGTACATATTTTTTACGGGGAGGGCGAACCTTCAGGCGATTATTGAGAGCGACTGAGAGGAAATGGAGGGTGTGGTGGTGGTGGAGGTACTGGGGAGTAGTGGTGGGTGGTGGGGGGTACTTAGGGGCATGGTGCTGAGTGGGGTAGTGGTGGGGTAGTGTGGGAGGGTAGGTGGGGTGGTGGACTGGGGAGCTGGTGGTAGTGGTGGAGCTAGTGGGGTGGGGGCTGGAGGCAGTGGTGGGGCTGGTGGCTGGTAGGGAGGTGGTGCGGGGTGGTGGCACTGGGGGCTAGTGATGGAGGGTAGTGGTGGAGTGGTAGTGCTGTGTGTGTTCCTCCTGTTGTTAAGATGAAATTACACTGTTTATAGAATCTACCCACCAACACTGTGACGGTGGAGGGGAAGGAAGACGGATGATATGAAACTGTACCTCTACAAACAACCAAAGTTGACTCCTGTTACCATTGTTAGGACCCTCCCTCCCTCCCTCCCCCCGCCCTATTTCTCCTTCCTCAGCTGCATATTCTCGGGGAAGGAATTTCTCTCCTATTCATTTCTTTCTCCCTCCTTCACCTTCCTTCCTTCACCTTTCTTCTCTCTCACTTTCCTTCCCTCATCCTCCTCAACTTTCTCACCTTGTCTTATTTACTCTCCTTCCTTAAGTAGTCTCAACGGAAAACGAGATGCAGTCAAACGGGCCACATGATCGGGCCAGTTTTATAAACATTTATAACACGGATGGTAATGGCCACAATTTATTCTGCAGCATCATGAAAAGATAATAAAGTCCCACACCACCCCACCACTCCCTACCACCCCTACCCACCCCCAACCCACCACCCCCTACCACCCCCTCCCACAACCCCACCCCACCACCCTCCCCTACCACCCTCCCCCACCCCCCCCACCACCCACCACCCCCACCACCATACCACTACCCCCTCCCACAACCCCCACCCCACCACCCCTACCACCCTCCCCCACCACCCCCACCACCACCTCCCCCCTACTCCCCCCCCCCCTACCCCCCACCCCACCACCCTCCCCACCCCTACCACCCCCCCACCCCTACCACTCTCCCACCCCACCACCCTCCCCCACCACCACCGGTTGTATCTCCATCCACCCAACAGTTAACGTAAGTCCATATAAGGAAACTTGTCGTGTATTGTATTAGTTCCTGCCCTTACTGACTGACGCCCTGATACTGACGCGACTGACGCCCTTATACTGACGCCCTTATACTGACGCCCTTATACTGACGATATACTGACGCCCTGATACTGACGCCCTTATACTGACGCCCTTATACTGACGCCCTTATACCTCGCCACAGGAACACTGATCACTAATATCGTCGTGATCAATGAGTCTGTTCAAAGTTGTTGTGTATCGCCTTGTGGACGCCGCGGACCTGCTATGGTTTAGTGGATTCATTTATTTTATTGATTTATTTATTTGTTTATTTATTTTATTTGTTTATTTATTTATTTTATTTATTTATGTTCATATATTTATTTATTTGTTTATTTATTGTATTTATTTGTTTATTTATTTACGAATAATATTTAATTGGTATAAATAGTGTTAGTTTTTGGTTTTCAAGAACACAGACCCACACACACACACACACACACACACACACACACACACACACACACACACACACACACACACACACACAGTTTATAGAATCATTATTAACTGCTGACATTAATCCCGTTGGTTTCATGTCGTATTGACTTTGAGATCTTGACAGTAATCTTTACCCAATAAGCGGCTGTGGTGAGATGGTATTGAGTGTGTGTGTGGTGTCCTTGGTTCGATCCCCAGTGTAAGGTGTGAGTTGTCAGTTCATTATAAGTGTAACGGAGTGTAGTGTCCTCTCTCTCTCTCTCTCTCTCTCTCTCTCAGTGGGTCGGGTACGTTTAGGTGCGCACCCCCTACTGCGCAGATCTTGCCTTGAAAACCATATTAGGCTGTCGGTAATCCTTTGGTCATTTGTGTTGTGAATTATTATTATTATTATTATTATTATTATTATTATTATTATTATTATTATTATCTTTGTATCTTTGGTTGGCATTTAATTCTACCTTGACATTTTGATTTGATATTTTTTTTTTGTTGTTCTCTCTCTCTCTCTCCCTCTCCTCTCTCTCTCTCCTCTCTCTCTCTCTCTCTCTCTCTCTCTCTCTCTCTCTCTCTCTCTCAAAGGTTGACGACAAGCCAATATTTACCCAGTAGCTCGACCAGGCTAAGGCTAGCTACATACACACAACTGTTCTGTGGTTCAACCCATTGTTCCCTCCTTATCTCCCTCCTTCCTTCATCTCTCCCTCTTTTACTTCCTTCCTCTCTCCCTCCCTCATTCAATCACTCCTTGCATCCCTCTCTCCTTCCAGTCCTCTCTCCCTCCTCCTCCTCTCCCTCCCTCAGAGACATTCTTAAAAGATTTTTCTCTTCCTTTATAATTCAGCTTTCTTCTCTCTTGAGACTTTTGTACTTTCAAGTTTGGTGTGGTGGTGGGTGGAGGGGAGTGTGGAGTGGTGGGTGGAGAATGAGTGGGTGGAGGGTGTGGAGTGGTGGAGTGGATGGTGGGTGGAGTGGGTGGAGGGTGTGGATAGTGGAGGTGGAGGTATGGAGTGTGGGGGGTATGGGTGGTGGGTGGAAGGGGTGTGGGTGGGGAGGGATTTCCTTGATCAGGTCATTGAATGCCTGTACCTTTATACCTCCCTTCCTCCTCCTCCTCCTCTTCCTCCTCCTCCTCCTCCTCCTCCTCCCATACCTGTGCACTATCCAATGTTTATAAATTAATAGAATGCATTTACAAGTCACCATTTACAACTTAATGACACATATTTACAAGTCAATGAGTCGTATTTACAACACTATGTAACCAACTAACAATTTACA